ATCTTAGGCATACGGATACGTTTTCTTTCAATGTTCATTGTTTCACATTTTAAGAAACTATTGCTTGATTAAGGAATCCATCTTGAAAGAACACTGAATTGGTCAATAAACAAGTTTAAGTATAATATCAAGTATACACCATGGCTGGAGAAGTCAAATACCGAAGAAGATTCTGCTCAGATTTTAATAAATATCTTACTGATCATAGTGACGTTGATCAATTTAGATCAAAAGTATGACGATTAGGGCGGCTATATATTATTGCAGATTTTGTCTGACGGAAATATGTTAGACTGAAAAATGTGAGGCCATCACCACGCCCCAAAACACATTCTCGTCATCAGTACGAGTTTAAGGCGTGTTGGTTTTCTTCGATAATCTTGGAAATGTCGCCAATGTGTAACTTACTAAAACAATTGGCGACAATTTCGTTATTGTTTTGCCGTAACGCAGTGCTTTCGCTTTTGTATGGACCCTCACTGGATTAACACCATAACGTCAGTCACTGTCGATAATTGACGAGTTAAGCCAAAACTTATAATAAACGACTAGATATCCTGCATTTTAAAGTCTGGTATGCGTGAAAATTCTTCAAATGATGTGAAACTTACGTACCCTCTAAGAGATACAATTATTTGACATAACTTCACCCCTCTCGGATTTTTTTGTAGTCCTACCAATTGTTCAGATATTACTATATAAAATGTTGATCCACTGCGATGGTAAACTCAACACAAGACATGCTTGACCGTGTTTCCTTTGTCACAAGGGATGCAGAACGGAAGATCCCCACCTTTTAATTGAAGATCCCCACCTTTCAATAACAGTTCATGAGTATGTGGTAAATGACAAACCAAATACTTCACAATCTTAATGCAGTTTAGAAGTTTTCTTTGAAATATATTAATTTATTATACAGAAAAGCATCAATTTAGTTGATCGTAAGCAGCGTTGCAAACTCCCGCCTGCCCAACCGTCCGGGACGGTCTGTTTTGCGACCGGACGGTCAGTTTTAAGAAGTTGCACGCCCTATTGTCTGGCTGTTAAATCAGTGTAATTTTGTAATGTAACCTAACCAGTTCAGATCAAAGTTTCTTCTCTGACATAAACATCGTGTTTCTGTCCTCATTCGTCATTGACCAAGTGATCGAAATTAAATCTATCCGGTCAGAGCCCGTTTTAGATCTAGACCTGCACTCATAACAGTGCATTACTGAGTACGCTCTAGACATGCGATGCCTATATCTGTGTAAGGAGCTCTGGTTGCAGTTTACAGCATGGCGACGTCCAGGCAATGGCATGCTTTCCGTATTGTTTGATTATCAGCTTGGCCTTTTATATCATGCTGCGACAATGTTTAGGACTTCCAACTGCCCACAAACGCAAGACTCAAGCTGAGAAAGATAAAGAGTATGAAAAAAAGAGGAAACGTTCAATTGCTCCTTCGTGGAAGACAGATTTTCCATGGATTATAACCGAAGAGGTTCACGAAAGAATATATTGTACAACATGTAGATCGGTGTATGGCCCACTCAGTACCAGGAAACTAACAGATAAGTTTCTTAAGTATGCATCAGGACCTTTTGTTGTAGGTTCCAGTAATTTAAGACGTGATTCTCTTGTCACGCATGAAAAATCGGACGGACACAATTTTGCATGTTAATATGAAAAGTCACACAATGCAGAATTCATCCCAGCGGAAAAAAGTTTTCAATCTTTAAATAGTGCCGTTTTCGAAAGACTACAGAAACTTTTCAGAGTTGCACATAGCATTGCTAAAGATTCAAGGCCCATTTCGGATTATGAGTGGATGTGTTGTTTGGAAGGGAAGCTGGGTGTGGATCTAGGACCTACATACAGAAACCGTACGGCATGCAAGGAGTTCATGGTTTCAATAGCTGAGGTTGAGCGCCAGAAAATTGAAGATGAGTTGGCTCAGACGAATTACTGTACCATCATGTCTGATGGATCAACAGATGTCTCGGGTGTTGAGAACGAGGTGGTTTATGTCCACTTTGCCAGACAAGGAGCATGTCACTGTTATTTCCTAGGGATGATGGAGACTGAATGTGCCAATGCTAGTGGAATTTACTCAGCAATAATGGAATCTTTGCATTTCAACAAACTCTCAACTGAGGAGATACAGGAAAAAATTGTTGACTCTGCTGGAGATGGAGCATCAGTAAATAGTGGTAAACTGAATGGTGTCATTGCATTATTTCAAGGCAGGATCAATCCGTCTATTTTGATGATTCAGTGCATGGCACACCGTGTTGAACTGGGCTTGAAAGATGCTATGAAAAATGTTCCCCTGTTTTCAAAGGTTGTTGAACTTCTGGATGATATCTTCAAATTCTACAAAAGTGCTAAACAGAAGTCGGAACTAAAATCAGTCTTTGAGACTTTGAAACTGCAGTTCTCCATGCCTACGCGAGTTGGGGGTACGAGGTTGGTGGGCCATATGCTGCTAGCGGTCAAGAACATGCTGAAAGGATACAGAGCCCTGGTTTTTCATTTGAGCAAGGTAAATTTATACATATAAAAGTTTAACAATTAAGGCTCTTTTTATAGTAACTTACAGTTATAGCAACCTTGATAGTACACAAAAGTAATAGATAGTAATATACTAATAATCAGATAGTACACATGATATATAATTACAATTGTCAGAATGTGTTTTTTTGTGAATACATTGAGATATATGTGTACACTAAACTGAACATTCTTGCTTGATATCTGTTGAAAAATGTTCGAGCAAAGAAAGTTAGTACAATGTCCTTTCTTTACTTGCGTTTATCACATTCACAGTAATCTTCCTTTTTTGTAAACATCATCATGATACTAATATCAGATTTATTTATAGTTCAGTACGACAGTAGTACTCTGATAGTTTACTTAAATATTTATGTCTGTTTCAGGTTTCTCAGATACGTTCCCAGTCAGCAGCTCAGTCTAAGGCGATGAACTTCATCAAAAAGTTGAGGTCAAAGAGTATTATCTTCTTTGCCCACTTCCTTGTAGGTGTGCTCAGTGTTTTGGCTCGCCTTTCCAAGCAACTCCAGGAACGAGAAGGATGTATCTTCCAGGTCCATAGACAGCTTGAAACTACACTTATCAACCTGAACAAGCTGGGGGGAAAGGTATGCATGTCAAGTGACCAAATATAATCTTGAAACTTGTATGTTTGTAGTGACCTGGCTTTGCAATCCTTTCCCTGCTAATGCTCATCTTTTCTGTAAACACAGTTAGTCTCTGCTTTTGTGTACTGACCATATGAATGCATATAATTAGTAATATCTAGTTCATTCACCAGCATCTCAAATCTATTCTAATCCTACACCCTGCTTGTATTCTCTGTCTGTTTCCTGTTGTGTTCTTCTGTCAAGTAGCTCTTAGAATATGGTGGTGGCATTTCAGAGATGGATTTGAACTGAGAAAAGTTGCTTCCTCAGACACGTTTGAAGGTGAAAGTTTGACAGGAAATACATCTGAACATAATGCACAGTCAGCCAGAGTAATTAAAGGTCTAGTCAGCTGCCTTCAGAGAAGATTTGATGATCTTGACAAGGGTATTTTCAGTGCAACCAAGTTGGCTGATCTTAACTCTTGGCCTACCAGCTCTGAAGATGCTAAGGGTGTGTGTTAGTGTGTTGTTCAGTACTGATGTGAATTCTAATAGTTATTGAACTTATCCCAAACTTAGTACCAATGAGGTGTCTTTACTTAATGTACTTTATCCCTTCACTTAATTCCAATTTGGCATGTTGTCTGACTAAATTTATTACTAGTAAATATTAAAGATGATATGCAAAAATGTTCTGTAACATGTATGGTGGAAACATCTTAAAATGTTCAGCTTTTTTCCCATTTGGTATTATAATTATCTGCTTATGACTTTTGTATCTTTGTTATGTGTTGAATAGGATAACTTATAAATATACTTGTTTTTACCATAATTGAAAACTGTGAAGTATTACCTGATTTTTCATGATGTAATTAGGCAGAATAGTGATATCAGTTTTATATGGATGACACAAATGACTTCAGTTCAGGATTAATAAAAACTTTAAAGTGATTCATGTTTGCAGATTTTGGTGAAGATTGCCTCATGAAATTGTTGGATCACTTCCATGACATCTTAGAGAGGAAAGGGGTGGACCTAGCTGCAGCTGAAGAAGAATGGACAGCCCTGAAACAGGCTTTGTATAAAAGGTTAGGAAATTAGTCTGAGTTATGCTGATAGCCAGATACCATGTAATTACTGATTGTAATTATCTCACTCTGGTGAGAGCTCATATTCGTATAATGTCTAGAATTTAACATTACAAAGTCATTATTTGGTCATTATTATTTTTCAGTGATCAGGTCCATGAGGCTAACTTGAATTGGGCCACAATCAACAAACTTCACAGAGTGAGGTGTCCTAACATCCTGGAGGTAAAAGATTTGATTCTCTCTCTACCATCTTCCAGTGCTGAATGCGAAAGAGGTTTTTCACAAATGAAACTCACCAAGTCTCAATACAGAAACAAGCTAAGCAGCTCATCAATGACACTCTTGATGACAATCCAACTTCACTCAAAGGCAATTTGTTGACTTTGACCCAACACACTCTATACATAAGTGGAACAAATAAATCTAGAAGGCCTGAGTTTTTGCCTAAGTCAAAGCCGGTCAGGAATTCAGTTTCACTGAATACTCTAGAGCATCATTTGAGTGAAGTTGAAGTGCCTCAAGCTGAAGAAGTGCCTACTGCAGGGGGAAGTTCTGAAACCGCCCCCCCCCCCATTCAGATTCAGACTATGATTCTGTTTTTTCAGATTTGGACGAATCTGACTTTGAATATGATGACTAAACTGCTAAAGCCTTGACTAAAGCCTTGACTGAAACAGATTTGAAAACATGTGTTATTGTGACTATAACCTGACATTAAACAGTTCCATCCACTTATTTACATTCTTTTTATTTTTCTTAATCCAGATAAGTCTGGACTGGCAACTTTCCAACCGGTCTGGTAACCTTTGAGAGTTACCAGACCAGTTGTCTGGCTGAACTTTTGGGGAGTTTACAACACTGATTTACCTAACATTGTTGTCGCGTCTTGCGATTACATTTACTTACCCTAAAATAGAGAAGTGTTCTTGAATAGTGTAGCAAACCAACTGTTCAACTCAACGGAACAATATTCCATCAATATAACGACGAAAGGCATTGTGAATGGGCGTCAAGCTTCGTACACATGTTGGGAGTCAAACCCAAGTTTTGGGAGTTTAGACCCCACGAGGCTATCACTGTGCTACCCAAGTTCATGATTCCGCTAAAACACATTTACTGGTTTAGAACATACAAGCATGACGTCTGTGAATGAATATGATAGTAATATACATCATCATGTCAATAACAACAGCAGTTACAAAACATTAGGAGAACGTATGCATGTCCACTCAATAAAAAGTTTGAAACTTACTTTGAGACCCGACTGTCGCCACGCCACAGGACAAGCATAGGAGAATCTTCATGACTGAATTCACGAGCTCTGCATCTGGTGAACTGACAGATTCGAGAAAAATCTCCATTTATATTTAACATTCTTAAGTATTCTGACGTATTCAATTAGCCCAAGCAGCCATGTGTGTGTTGACGCTATTGGCTGCCTTGCAGTATGTAAAAGGTCCCTTTGTACAGAATAACAAATGCAGTCACAAAGATATTTACAACGAGAAGATGTTCATGGAAGAGAACGTCTTTGTTAGGAACGACATTTCAGGCTACACTTCGCTCAAACGTTTAATACCTTATTTACGTACATGATAATAATAAGCAGCTGACAATCTCTCTCCTGATACGCGACCGATGAATGATATTGCATAAACACTACAACGAAAAGATACTGTAAAGTTAATTGTTTTAACGACATTTAAGAAATTCGTGAGTCTATAATTAATCATACTATTTTGTCGATAAGAACTTCTTGTTTCTACAGCGAAACGTCGCCCTATCCAACAAACAAGAAGTTATCCATAAAGTCGTATACTTCACTACTGTAGCGTTGTTAGTTGTTAAATTCCGAGCGCATGGCGACGGTCTGTAAACAGTCGCATCTAGACCATACAAGCCAGTGATTGACACAATGACCTTCCACTACCTTCCTCTATGTACGTGTGTGTAGGTAGCTATGTGTGTGTGTGTAGCAATAACGCGCGTAGCAATAGTAGCGTATGGATGTACAATATGCGCGCGCGTGTGCGTATAACGCACGTGTGCGTAATATGCGTGTATGTGTTTATGGATGTGTATGACCATATGCATATGAATGCGTATATGTATGTATGTGTGTGTATATCTGTGCCAATCGGTGTTCTCAATATTCTCTGAACACTTTTGTATTTCACTGAGGGTTAAACACTGTCGATCTATCAGAATGTAATCAATTCCTGAACTATCGTGACCAGGACAATTTAAGAACTAAGCCAACTGACCTGTGCATTGCAAAAATTATGTATATATACTAAGTAGCAAAAGAAACGTCAGTTAGGAGTTTATCCTTCGCATGAAAAACGGATAACTATAAACTCATTAAATGTATTGATTGTATATTTTTGACAGCATCTCCAACTTTACCAGAGCAAAGACATTCCTTCCCAAACTTAGAATGGAAACCAGGAAATGTCATCTCCAAAAACGCAATCCTGATCTCAGAGATGGTGGTAAATTGTTCTCCCATGTTTTTCATGCAACTCAAGCTGCACGTACTGTTCACAAGGACCACCCTCAAACCTGGTTGAAACATTCACATTACAACGTCAGCAGGATGCCCCTTCTCACGACAGCTCAGAGGAACCAGGCACTGCAAGAACGCTTGAAGGTTGCCGCACTGTGCCAGCAAGCCGTTGCCAATCACTTCCAGGTCAACATTCGGACCATATCACGCTGCAGCAACGTTTCCGGGCCACCAACACCACAAATGATCATCCCGTACTGGCAGACCAAGGGTGACCACAAGACGACAAGACCGCCATCTTGTGCGACAGCATAATACAGAATCCTTCATGCAGGCATCGAAACACCAAGCCAGACGGTGGGAACACACGGAAGACCAATCAGTACTGATACAGTACGCCGAAATCTTAACAGCAGGAACCTCATTGCCGTAGACCTATCCTCACCCCTCGTCTACAGTTTGCCCCTACAACACTAAAACTGGCGATACAGGCAATGGAGAACTGTTCTGTTCAAAGATGCGAGTCGGTACTGTGTATCAACTGCAGATGGCAGAACAAGAATATGGCGACGACGTGAGGTCAGCGTTACTCAAACCAATGTGTTATGGAAAGAGACTCATGGGAGGTGTAAAGCATCATGGTATGGGGTGGAATAGGCCCTGAACCAGGGGAGTGGGTCCTTTGGTGTTCCAGAACCGTGGTCCAGGGAGAGGAGGTGGTATCACAGCGGTGAGCAACATCGACCAAGCTCTCAGACCCCATATGCTTGTCATACCAAATTTCGATCGTCACTGGAACAACATTTTCCAGCATGATAACGCTTCCGGGTTCCACACTGCCAGAGCTACACGGGACTTCCTACAAGCAGAACGGTGTCAACATTATGCATTGACCAGCCCTTAGTCCTGGATTTAAACCCAGTTGAACATCTTGGGGATGAAATTCAGAGGAGACTGAATAATGTCATACCAAAGGCCGAACACAGCCGATTTATTGCGCCAGGCCTTTTCTCAGTGTATTGTTCAAGGTGCAAATGGCCTTCATCAATCGATTGGTGCACTCCATACATAGACGCTGTTTAGCAGTTATTGCCGCTCGTGGTGGTCACACTCAAAGATACTGCAGTCAAGAGTCTGAATGGACTGCAAACGTTCACGTAATGTCTTGGAATTGTGCTGAGTTATTCATTGATGTGTCAAGATATGTTTTGATCCGCTTATTATGTCCATTTCTGCCCAATTATTTGATTACAGTGCCTATCTAATTTTGAATTCGTACTGACGTCTTTTTGCTTCTATATATATATACAGCTGCCAATTTCAAATTTATGAGTTTGTCAAGTTTGCAATCAACTATATTTGCGTTTACAGCACAAAAATCACCTAAATGATGAATATTGGATATTGAAGTAACAAAGGGAGCTAGTATAGCATTTCCATTAACTTATCTAATTAAATTAGATGATCATTGGATTCTGAACTTTGAAACTACGATGTCTATCATGGTACTTCTCAGTTATGCAACTTATTTGTTTCATGTCAGTGAGATATAATTTTACATAGCATAGGCAATATTGCGGACAAATAGCGATGAATGTTTCATATCATCTAAAGAGTGAATGAGTTTATATTTAGCGTCACATCGGCAATATTGCAGCCATATCGTGACGAGAACAATTTCATTTATATCAATAGTAAAATCAATAAATTTAGAAGGTTAAAACCTGTCATCCGAAGTACAGTGAAATACTAGATTATCACAAATCTTAATTTAAAACTGGTACGCTATCATAAAAATATCACTTGAGACAACAGTACAATATAAAACAAAGCAACTGCAGGTTGATCATCCCACACTAGGGACCATGGGAACTTACAGTACTTTTGCTACCTGCATGGACCCTAGCTGGATTTATATAAACTCTTCAGCGGCTGGCGATTGTAGTCAAATTTAGCCGAAATTAAAATGTCAAAAATACTACATTTACAACAGCTGGTAAATTTTAATTTCCTTTGAATGTTGCGGGACTAACGTATCCTTTCAGGGGACAATACTTTACAATAATTAACCCCACTCGAGGATACCGCCACTAACAATCTAAGTTGCTAATCTAAACTACCAATCATTTTAAATACATCTATCTACAACATATATCAATCAAAATTTATCAATTATTTATCAATTAAATCAATTTCTTTTAAAATAAAAATTAAATGAAAATTTACAGTACTAAAAGATCCTGAACAGTTTTATATTGAAATACCTATTCCTTCATCTGAAGATCTTAGATTTTGATTAAAAAAGCAAGAATTAGACGTGGGTAGAGACGTTCATTTGGCCACTTCTTGGCATATGCATTACAAAATGTCTTGTGTATTTCAGCAGAAATTTCGAATATATTTATTCCACTTTTATTAGTTTGTACAGTTTGCAATTATAGATGTTTCTCATTTGAAATAGGTGGGAAAAGAATAATTTATGTGGAGTTAATGAGGACCAATACATATGTTACTTGCCAGTTGCCTCAGTTGCCTTAAAATCTGCAGGCAAAGGTATCTTTAATCAAACAAACTAAAGCAAAGAACTGTTATTCAGTTAACAATTTCATTAATTGCACTAAAAAGTCGAGAATTGCTTCCAAGGATTTACAAATTCAATGAGGATTACAATGCAATGGAGGTGAAGCTAATGCAGTGGAATGGCTTTTCAATTTAATTGCAAATTGGTTGAAGAATCTCCTTCATCTGACATCATCAACAAAGGCAAAGAACGATAACACCCATCTATCTTGACCTTATCTGACGACTATTGGCTTGTCTCAGCTCTGGCTTCTAATGACTTATGGCCTGTCTCTTATCTTCTAACTCTAACCTCGTAGATTACTATTCTAATTCTTCACTATTTTTCCTGAAATACCAACTCTATAAATTCCTTGGTATACAACTGAAAAGGTAAACCATGAAGTTTCTCGACCTCTGCCTTTCTAAACTGGATTGTCTTCAACTACAGATTCCTCATCATCATTCAACTACAAAACATCCATTAAAATATTCTTTATTTCATTGACTTAATCCCACGTCTAAGGGAAGCATCATGTTTGTCAGCCAATTCTGTAACATTTTACTTTGTAACACTGACGGTTTACCTGAAGCAGCCATAGTCAACACTGTGCTCACATACCCCCACTTCCCACTTTGGGACATGGAAATGTTTGTTGTTGTATTAGGTGCTTTTTTGAGGTCGCCTTCGCCTGTTAGCATGTCGGCAGACCCTATCCCTCCAACAGGATGCATGGGGGACATGGAAATGACTGATATTGATATATATAATGTGACAAGGATCAGAAGTTTACAAGACTTTCTCCTTGACTCTACTAAACATCATATACATGTTAGATAATAGTTTTGCCATGTACTTGATTACAGTAATAATTTATGGAAACATTTTTTATTTATTTTTTCCGTGGAAACCTGACATACAATTGAACTTGTTGCACAAAATGAAGTGGACGTAGATGAAGATTGTTATTTTTAGCACATGGCATATCTTTGGGTCATGATTAACTTGTGTATTAAGTTTGAGTGAACCCTAGCATGTATAGTTTCGATGATATGCTGTGGCCAGGTAACCATCACACTCATTCCATGGAAACAACAAACGAATTCTGAAAAAGTATTTAAAATAGCAAAAGGCACATCAATGGGTAATGATTAACATGTATGTGAAGTTTGGTGAACCTAGCATGTAAACTTTAAAGAGATATGCTCGGACAAAACCACCAAACACATTTGGCACTAAGTCGTGTTGCCATGGAAATAGCAAAAAAATCAAAATTCTGAAAATACTATAAAATAGCAAAAGGCACATCAATGGATAATGATTAACATGTGTGTGAGTTTGGTGAACCTAGCATGTAAACTTTAAAGAGATATACTCCGGACAAAACCATCAAAACATTTGGTACTAAGTCGTGTTTCCATGGAAATAGCAAAAAGACTAAATTCTGAAAAATATTAAATAGCATAAGGCACATCAAAGGGTAATGATTAACATGTATGTGAAGTTTGGTGAACCTAGCATGTAAACTTAAAGAGATATGCTCCGGACAAAACCATCAAACACATTTGGCACAAAGTCATGTTTCCATGGAAACAGCAATAAAACAAAATTCTAAAAAAATAAAATAGCAAAGGGCACATCAATGGGTAATGATTAACATGTGTGTGAAGTTTGGTGAACCTAGCATGTAAACTTTAAGAGTTATGCTCCGGACAAAGTTTCGTGACGGACGGACGGACGGACGGAATGAACGCTATATACCCCCGTTATTTCGTAGCAGGGGTATAATAACTTTATCCCAACACAATCAGATAAAAACAAGACCTAATGTTAAAGAACAACAAAAATGGACCCGGACGAGGCCCCAATTTTCCTTTATAGAAGTCCTGTCATTGTGACAACTACCCATACCAGGACACAAGTGAAAACTAACCAGAAAGGTAAAAGTCAAAGGGAATGTTGTCAACTCAACACATGATATATGTAATCAAGAGGAAAAAACACACCTCTACCTGATCAACTAATTAGGATAATTTATCTAATCACTCGAGCAGAAGAACCGCAACGCAAAATAGCAAGAGACATCTCAACAGAAATTCACAGCTAGTGTCAATTAATTGTTAGGGTAATTAAGACCTCATTACAAATCTCTCACGGATGTTAAAAGTGTCACCAAACATCACCACTTGGGTGAATACAAATACACTTTGTAATCCGGTAATTGCTTTCGGACGTAAGGGTCACTGAATATGACACGTTGAGTAAATAGATGATGTAAATAGAAGCGACAAAACCCTTTCAACATTAATAAGAAAGAAGAGTCAGTCAATTGTACAGTTCTGACTATATCATGAGCAGATATTTGTTTCAGCAGTATTGCAGATGCATGATGCTGTTTGTAAACAAATCCAGTGATTGTCACCATGTCATACGATGACCAGAGCATATGTTTATGAATCACTTATGAATCCAAGTGTTTGCACAAGGTGAGTGTATCCTGTATACCTGCCCCACCGGTAGCACCTGTCATAAACATATGCTAAGTCTAGTCACTGGTTCACCTGTAATAATTCGGGAACGTAAGTTGTGGTGGTATAAGAGGTAACTAGGGCAATGCATCGGACTTCATTTTTGTCACTGATGCATCAAATTTGTAAATTTACTCCACATGTCTACCATAAATATTCTTGAAAGCTTTCCTGAGGCCTTGAATGTTGTATCCTAGATCAAACAACTTCATAAAAAGAGCACGCTCGATAGTACCTAAAAGTTGTGTGAGTGAGTGAGTGAGTTAATATTTTATCGTCACATCGACAACTTGCAAACGTAAACCGAACGTGTTGGAATATTGCTCGACATGAAAGGAGGTTGACCATTGGAAAGTTGAAATCATCCCTTTGTGTACAGCCGGAGAGGGGTTTTGTCACTCTGAATCACTGCATAGATGTAAATATGAAACAGCTGAGGTGGTCTGTCACAGAGACTGACTGAGGTTAGTTTTACGCCGCTTTTAACAATATTCCAGCAACATCACGGCGAGGGCCACCAGAAATGGGCTTCACACATTGTGCCCATGTGGGGAATCGAACCCGGGTTTTCGGCGTGACGAGCCAACGCTTTAACCACTAGGCTACTTCACTGGCCTCTCTCTCAGAAAGAAAGCATTTCAATAACCATAAAACATCTGCTATTAGCAGGGGTGAATTCAACGATTCTGAAGCTGACAAGCATGCGTTTATAGGACATCATGAAATATCGGTTATGTTATAAGTGTTTTAAGAAAAATGAGCCTGTGCTACCAGGTACTGACTCTTTGCAAATGTAAGTGAGTGAGTTAATATTTAACGTCACATCGGCACCTTGCAACACGTAAGCCGAACGTTGCTTTAAGTGCAATAACACTGATTTGAAAAAGTTTTGAACATTTGCCACATGACGCCCTCTTCAATAATCATATCATATATAAGGCTCCGTTTGATAAAACCTCATTATAATGTAGATGACAAGGGCTGGAGCTGACTACATATTCCTCAGCAAAAGCTGAAGTGATCCTTTGCCTTCGAGTTCCATGGATGGATTTTTTAATAGATATTTTAAATTATTTTGCTTTGATTCAGACGACTTAAAGGTATCTTATACTGCTAGGATTAGTTGGCTGTATCACTGGAAGCTTACTGATACACGTGCACACGATATAGTCGGAATTGTACAATCCCTTTCTTCTTGATGTGAAAGGGTTTTGACACTTATATTTATCACTTTACTTCATGTAAATTACTTTTTGTTGAAGATGGTATCTCCTCACTGAATAATACGGGCGTGTTGAGTGAGTTAATGCCAAGATATTTCATTGTTGGTTGTCGAAATGGGCTTGACTTCAGCCCTCATGATGAGTCAGTATCATTTAGATATTGCCTCACGTTGATTCCCAAATTTTGCTCAGATTCCCCTCATTTTCAGTCCGTAAAAGAATCTCGCATTTCGTGATGTAATATGATATGAACAGGGCAGAAGCACGCCCCCGATATATTGGCTAACAGTTCGGGATTTCTCCATCCATATATTCTTGGTAAGACCATGGACCATGTTGGGATGGCCATGGTCGTGCGCTTTCGGTACTACGTGGTACCTCAAGAACTCTCCATCTAAACGTAGCACAAGTCGAGATATGGCATAGCATTACCCCTCCCGACTGTTATCGGAAAGAGTAGATTACACTATGAACACTCTTCCTGGTTCAAAAATTTGCCACATAACAATGTATTTGCAGAGTAGCTTGGGATGTCAGCTATTCAAAGTATTACTTTTGAGTTCAAATTCACAACTTTACCCAAGTAATCATGCAAAGCACATAAACTGATTATAAATGCATTTTATGGTGTTGCTGCTTGTACGACATGGTAATTGAAGCTTCTAAATATTAGACAAGCTAATAAACGTACCCCTCAGTTTGTCTCAGATATCAGCATAAAAGCATCAGTAATTCTTAATACTCCATAAAATGACCAACAAATACATGAAATGAATACGACAAAAGCACGATGACACCTTCGTATCATTTAAGTGTAAAGTCATTCGTAAATTAAATTCGATAATTATTGGTTCATGAACTTTCAGTCTATGTTTTCCCCAACCAGAAAACCGTACATTGTGTATTCAAAGGGTAAAGGAGATGTGGTCTCTGATAGTGTACAAAAACACTGTTGGTTTTCTGTACATCAAATTCATTTTGAAATATATGTAGACGTTCATTAATGATTCCAAAATGACTTCTCTCATATGAGTATGTTTATTGGTATGTGCGTGTGTGTGTTCGCGTGTGTGTAATGTATGTTTGTCTGTGTTATTCGGTCTCCTCAAACATATTTGAATGATCTTGTCTTTCATTAGGATTAAACAGTGTAACTAGTTCCGAGGTTATCGTGACCAGGCCAATTTAACAATAGGTTTAAAGAGTGGACGTTTGCATTCCAAAGATACCATGTATATGCATTTCCTTACAACTGCCCAATTTCGAATTTACGATTATGTCCAGTTTTCAATTGCATATATTTGCGTTCACAGCACAAGGAAAAAATCACCTGAATTATCCACATTGGATATTGAATTAAGAAGGAGCAAGTTTAGCATCATCGTTGACTTTTCAGAGCGAACCAGAAGCAGAGCCCACATGACCTATGAATCAATGCTATCCATACTCGGCTACCCCACAATATCACAATATACAATGTAGATATTTTTTATGATGAAACCTGAATCAGTGTTTAATCAAGGAAAGCAGTAAAATATTCACGTGCATTTTTTAGGATCTACCTGAATACCAGCTGCAACCAATAAACACTTTCTCTGTGGCTGGAAAACATATTTAAAGTCATGGTTGAGACCAGGAGCATCACTTCCATCCTTGCTGTAGATTTTGTTGGGACATCTCATCAACGAACATGAAGCTGTTTCTCCTGATAGTTCTTGGTATGTATACTTACACTTGTGTTAACACCTACGCAGTATAATGCCGAGACTATAAGAACTGGTACAATGTTCATACATTTGCTTTGATGTGTTTATGATCTGGTATGTCATGATAGAAAATGGTTACAGGGTTCTGAAAGATCGAAATACCTAATTTAACATTCGGTTCAAAGTCAAATCTACAGTTCGCAGAGACCACCATTACTCATTATACCGCTGCAAACGCCCTTCAGATAAGCATTTTCTTTTCCACACTAACATTGTCATAATAGATAAGGTAACAGGATTCTGAAAGATTTAGACACTTAATTTAACATTCAGTCCAAATTAAAATCTACACTGACCACCCATTGTTAATCATGATACCACTGCAAATGCCCTACAGACCGACATTCTCTCTTCACACTAACATAGTGACATACCATGTCGCAGCGCAAAATGATACCATATTCGGACACATTTTACCGACTCCAAGGCATCCAGTCTCTAGTACATCACATAAGTGCCGAGCACGAGGCAGAGCAAAACCACGTACCATATCTTGTCCTACACACTTTACTTGTTTCGTCTTGGTCACACGTGTAAAGACTGCAGCTTCATTTGAGCTTCATTCTCTATTCGTGGCTTAATATAACTAAAGTCACAAGCGCAATGTGAGAAGACATTGAAGACTTATGTTTTGCATAATTTTAATTCATTTAAAGAACCATGTACATCCGAAGATCCATATTCAAGTGTTATACAATGCGATTCAATTATCTGAATGTAAAGCCCAAGGATCTGTATTAATGATAACAAAACTTCCTGCTAACACTCGGACAGATGCTATTGTGTGTTTTGGATGTGATCTGACTGGCTACAGTGTTACACGTATGCTTTGATAGGATATCCGAGTTGAATTTCACTTTAGGCGTACTTTTTCTTTTTCAGCCACTCTGCTGACTGCAGAATTTGTTGTTGCAGAACGACAACAAATGAAAGTGGCCCCAACCAGTAAGTCGAAGACAAATGTTGATTGTGTTACGTGTCTATTCCCAAGTTAAACCAATACGTTAACCCAGAGTCTTGGTGTACAGGAAATTCGATGTAAAACCGACAAAGAAAGAAATGTTGTACAATCAGCAATTACATAAACATAAGGAAGTTTACAACGCACGACGTCTCACTACAATAGCTGCTCGAAACAGAGTAGTTGTACAAGCTCAGAGGCAATTACAAATACAATATTGTGGACAGCAATGAAAGACAGTGATACTAACCTCGCGCCTACAGTTGTCAAGCTCATGTTTTGTATTGTCTTGCAATACTGACTTCAGGTACAAAGCAAGAGAGAGTCAATTTGCTCTTAAAACATGTTTTGGGACCGGGTTTGGGTGTAGGAATTCGGGATAGAGGGATGTCGGATTAGAGCGAATTTCTTATATTATATTATATAGGGACCAAATATATATGTCAGTTTACAGGGAATTTCGGATTAGAGATGTCGGTTTAGAGAGTCCACTGTACTTCTAGGATAGTCACAATAGCATGCTTTCTTTGTATGTCAAATTCCTACTAAATCAAAATCCTGTACATTCAGAATCAAATGACAGTGTCATAGAACACTTTGTAAACCTCTTTTAATCACTCTTAATATCTGTAATTAGTCCAATGTATATCAACACTGAATTGATCATTAAAATAATTTGTGAATATGTCAATTTAAAGTATTTGAAATGCTTACTGAATATTTTGTATACTTATTTAACCTGTGATATTGTACATGGTGTCATATTCCATTGGAATTTACTTCATATAATGTGATTAATATAGTGGAATGTTGTTTCCGTTGAAACACGATAAGTAATCAGGAAAGGGACCGTTCAGATGTCTAACAAACTACACCATGCTTCTATTTTCCTTTTCATACACAGTGTATGCGAGAGCACGGTTCACAAGATCAATATCAGAATATCGTCTTCGGTCTGGTGCCTCAAAACGTCTGAGAATGCGAAGTCTATCAAGTTCTGGCACTGAATGATGAGGTTGAGAGAGGATTCTAATGTGCATCAAAACAAAATAAGCAATAAATCAGTTTTGTTCTGCAACACTAGTTCTGATACATATTTTACTTGTCAGTTTCCTACATTATATGTAAGTTGTCTTCAATTTTGTAGGCAAAGAGGCGGTGGGGTAGCCTAGTGGTTAAAGCGTTGGCTCGTCACGCCGAAGACCGGGTTCGATGCCCCACATGGGCACAATGTGTGAAGCCCATTTCTGGTGTCCCCGCCGTGATATTGCTGAAATATTGCTAAAAGCGGCGTAAAACTAACCTCAGTCAGTCAGTCTGTAGGCAAAAGACTCGCTGTGAAACCAATGAGGACAAAAGAATTGTTATACAATAAGCAATTGCATTATGAAATAAACTAGGTTTACAAATAAATCCGAACTGCTACAACACAAAACAAAAGCATTACAAATAGGTGGGGTGAGTTGAAATTAGGTGAAATTGGGTTTAGCGTCGTACCTAAGAGTATTTTGCTCATATGAGGACATGTATGGGTATGTATGTGTGGCTGCTTGTACTAGCCCAGGCTTAACCTTCCGCTCTCCGAGAGGACGCTCTAACCACTACACCACGGAGGCAGTCTATTACAACAAGGAGCGCCAGTACAAATACAGTGAGAGAAACATGCACTGGCTTTGTGACATACTGTTGCATTACTATTTAATTAATTGTGGTCTGTGAAAATGATTGTATTAGCTTTTGTTCTGTTATCAAAGACTCGTGAACCAGGCTTCATTTACTCAGATCTTTTATTCTGTAATGGATAAAACTTTCTCTTTATTGCATAGAAAGACGTTTCGATGTAGATTCTTACACCGGTATCAAGATGGGTGTGTTAACCATGAAGTTGTATGCTTCATTACTGACTCACCAACTTCTTCAATGTTGATAAAACAAGTTTATGCTGTAGGCATAAAACCCGAAGTGTTAGGATTACAATTTTTGTCTTTGTGGCCCATAACCGCCATTTTCTTTTATGACGTAACATAGGTGTGACCTTTGTGTGACCTAATCGATTGTTGAACCCCACCCTCGTTAGGAGTCCCCTTCAGGCCCAGGTGTGCGTGCGTGACCTTCAGGTTCACCTTAGTGGGCTCTGATTATTGTTCAATTATTTTATGAGTGTTCACATAGAGTGAACTCGAGTGTTCACACAGCAAACGTGTTCAACGTAGAATCAATATCACACTATGAGGGGGATTTTAGCTGCAATTTATTAGGTCAAAAGTTAGATCAGAGCGCATTTGGTTAAATCAAATCACTAACCAGTTTAAAATACGCTGTCACACAAGGAACAACTCCGAAGTTCTGAGTATTTATTTTACATATCTGTGAACAATAAACGATTGTAGCTGTTAACATTCATGCACCATCGTATATGATAAGCGTGAATGGGGCGCTGTCTGTGCACTAAGAGCACAATCGCTTGCTCGCTGAGCCGTAACTGAGGACACATGTCACAGCTGTGATTGGATGAAATAGTGTAAGGTGTTATGTTTGTTAAAAGCACCTCCATCCAGTCATTAAAACTGACCACCATTTTAAGTATTTAATGCTGTCATTTGTATCACTGATGCATATGCGTGTACAGATATGTTCAAGTAGGTGTCAGTTTGTGCGAACCTGGGAGGCTTAATTTGTTCAGCTTCCTGTGTGTGGCTTCCTGTGCTCGCAGAGTAAGCCAGTTCAAGTTGTTTTATTGTAATTTAAAGGTCAGACTGTAATATGTACACGGAATGGTTGTTGATAGTGTTCAATGTGATGTTGAATGTATAGTCCCAAATGGTCAGCTTCCGTTATGTAGGGAGAGAAGTGTCTGACCGGAATAAAGACATGAAAAAGTAAGCAGTTGAGGACAGATGGTCACTGAATATCTCAAGTAGGGTGTCAAGTGGTTGTACAGTGATGAAATGATTTAGCATTTGTCATATATATTACTGAATAAATAAACAAACCTACATGTGTTCTCCTGTAAAACTTGCCAGTGCTTTTACTCAAAAAATTTAAAACTTTACTCTCAAATTGCAAACATACAAAAACCATCTTATGTCCATGAATACTATATATGACACTTTTTGACATCATGTGACACATAGGTTACTCACATGCCGTTAGCCGCTCTTATTCCACAGACAGTACAATGGAATACTGGTGTAAGCTTCTTGTCACTGTATTGTGTGGGGTATGAAGAGTTTGGGACCTCCTGGTGTTAAGAATTGTATTGTAGGTTAAATATATTCAGTGACATAGGGGGCATTATTTATCAGTTGTAAAACAAAGATTTGTACAACGAACAGTTGTCTCATGTCAATCCTCCAGCAATGCATTAAGCGAGTGAGTGAGTCAAAGCCACAAGCATGGCGGAGACGGTAGTAAAAGCAACGAGCCATGCCATCATGTCGTTTAAGATATACTGTTTGTGCCAAGGAAGGGCATCCACTGACAATGTGTTGCACAGTCTCTGTGCATTCATTGCAAAGTCGACATTTCATGTTAATATTCTCTTTAAGAATCACATTTAGGCGATTGCGAGTTGGAAGTGAACTGTTCCTAAGCAGCAAAAGGAAGCCTTATTATTATTATTAGTTTTGCAAACTTGCGACCAGCATGCATTACTGGGTGGTCTCAACGGACATCGTGCATCTGAAGTTTAGTGACAGTAGCTATATAGCGTCTCGATTGTTCATCAGCAGTCGTGACACATTCACTCCAGGGTTACAACAGGGGTACAAAACGTCAGATATACATGTTGGGTAACTGTTGGGTATATCCCTTCGGTTTACATTGACGGGCAGCTGTATTAACGATCTACTTGACAGTGTCACCCGAGTCGAGGTACTAGGGCCACCAGGCTGGCGAAGAGGGAAAACCCGCCATATAGCCGTTATACTGCTGACAGTGCTGAGTGTTATACAACAACAACAACAACAACAACCCAGTATCTCATGCAGATTTCATGGTATACATGACTCTTCAACGTCCACCTAAAGAGATCCTACCCCATACATACTGTACAGTCTGTGTACTGTACTGTGTGTTTCAGTTCTGCTATATCGTGACTGTCTGTAAACAGAGAGCAATCTCATAAGGTTACGTGAGTGAGTGAGTGCGTTCTGGCAGGAAATTCGTGTTGAGTCATTATTTTGAGGACTTCTATATATATGAACTACTGTACACTACTGACATTTTTGTTTGGATGTTGTCTAACGCCGTACTCCGGACTATTCCAACTATATGGCGATGGTCTGGTCTGGTCTGTAAATAATCAAGTCTGCAACCACTAAATACAGTGATCAACAACATGAGCATCAATCTACGCAACTGGGATACGATGGCACGTGTCAACCAAGTCAGCGAGCCTGACCCCCCCCGATCCCTTTACGACAATCATGGGTTACTGAAGACCAATTCTAACCCTCATCCTCACGGGTCAGAACCCTTATGAAAGAAGTCACAAAGAACTAAATATGCTTTCTTTGATCCACGTCGCCTGTGTGCATGCGTACTTGTATTTTCCTGTATATTATTTGATTGAATAGATAGTAAAATGAACTAAACCACAAACGGAATTGCCAACAGGCAAGAGTTTATTTTAAGGGCAAAATGGTTGCTTATATTGTTACCAATTTTCAATTTTTGCACCTTTTTTCTTCATGGTTAGTTGTTTTGTGTCACTTCTTGTGTAAGTTTCATGGATGTTCATCTAGGAACAATAATTTACAGAGACCAAGTTGTAAGACATGCCACACACGCCCACTGTTATCTCTCTCCATGATGAAAACAATCTCTCAGCTGAAGATCTGCCGCCAGAACTGTTGTGTGCGCGGCGTGACGTAATATCTGGCGATGATGACGTCATGACTTTATCCCCGGTCTCGGCACCCAGTTGCTGCTCACACAAGGAAAGTGTCTTGTTTACAAACACCGGCTGGGAACAGCTTGTTGTCTGTGAGACCCGGCTACCTTGGCGGCGTGACGTCATGTCTAGCGATACTGACGTCATGAAACATATCCCGACCTTAGTAAGCTGGTTCCGGCTCCTTGCGCGCGCTAACGTTCGACAAAGCTAGGAACCGGTATAGGCTGCCATTTAAAACGCTCTGCTCGTTTATTTGACGTCACATCCGGATTGGTCAATTTGGATTCCGTCGCGATCAAAGACCTGGGAATCATAAGACTTGAAAAAGTGAACGTTGTGTGAGAATTGCGCTGACGTGGTCCTGGATCTGCGTATGGCTATAAAATTACATAGAAATGTAGAATATTAAATTTCCTGTCCGTTGGTATTAAATATAAGTGCACCTGTAAGCAGACACTGTTATATGTTGTCCAAATCTTTGTTATGCGTTAAAAGCGGTAAATATCTCCGCTTTTGATTGTGTATTGATGAAAGCACTGTGCTACAGATTTTTAATTTGGCATCGTTACGGAAAGTGTGAGCGAAGAAAATACAGCCTGATATCTGAACGACATAAAGTATATATGAAATGGGTGTGTGTGCTTATGCATAACGTTATCCGCTCAATCTTAAAATGACTCGCAATAAATGTCGAAAAATGATTTTTGTTCTATGACGTCAAACGACGACAGAGAGGCCATACACGTATAAAGATAAAGGGTGGTCATAACTACCACATGCTAAACACTAGGTCAATGTACCTCAGAATGCCTTGAGAGGAATTTATTTGTGGATATGGACGCTATATTTTTCGTTATGGTTTTGTTCACCATGAACCAAACTATACTAAGGTACTTGCTATCGGAAATGCTAGAAAAATGCTTTTCGACTTATATTTAAAATTCAGGAATTATTACAGTTACTTAAATAACAAATATCACTTTAAGAAACATCTACCTAATGTAGACCGAGGGAATAAATTTTTGAGACATGCCCTAAAATGTGTTTTACTGATGAAAATGCCAAAACTTAGGAAAATAAGCGGTAGTGGGACGTTATTTTTGATACAAACATTAACTGCCTGTGTTACGTCATCAGCATGCACGGTATCGACAGGTGAGATTGACACCTGAGCACACGCTCGGGTGTAATCTCAATAGATTTTCTTCAAAATGTTGTATATGTGTACGTATAGTATACGTATTGGTTATGGAAGGGATCATTTGTGTATGTGCTTGTTTTGAAATAAACATACGAATTACTGTACATTGGAAAGAATCCTATCACTTGTGTTATCTTATCGATTGATTGTAGAAATGTGCATCGTTTTAATAAATGTTTTGTATGTCAACAGTTTATTTCATTGCAAAAATATGGATGTAATTCGGTCAGTTTAATGAAGTTGTGAACATTGGCCAAAGATTGAACAGAAGTCACTGGTGTAGCTTCTTTAGAATATATATATTCTTCTTCTCATAAAGTTTGTAGACCGCCCGTGTAAATTACTCCCTTGACAAAGTTGTCAAGGAAGGTTTTACTTCCCGGTTTTGCTTTTGAGACGTTCCTGTCTTGCCTGAATTGTTTACAATATTGTCAACTTGTTGGTAAGACATACCAACAGCTCTACAAGCTCTGTAATAAACCCTTTCTAAAATAATGAAAGGTTTACCTCTGTCTTTTCAAGCACAAAAACTTATAAACCTTTGCAACAATTGACTGCAAATAGTTGGCCATAGTGGACGCTGTGATAAAGATGGGCATGCATGACGGGAAACTTATTTATCAAGACTTAGCATTTATATTAATATTTCTTCAATAAAGAAACGATAATTAAGTTAAGTAACACAAGCATTCAACATTTATTTGTTAAAGAAAAACGTTGATTCATATTTTTACACCACCTGTATTATTAGCATTAAAGGAAAGATCATTTCAGATTTCTGTAGTTGAACTGAAAAAATCTTAAGTTGTTGTTTTGGTAACATATTCTCTCCTGTAAACTGCCCTTTAAATGGATGGGAATGTTAAATCGATTGAAAAACAAATTAGGTACACCACAGGCGAGTTGATATATTGACAACATAGTACATTTTATCACCTTTATCAAAGTATTAAGGCTAATAAGCATTTTTCTAGCATTTCCGACAGTACTTTTAGTACAAAGTTCCACAATGTGAGCGGATATGTTTTGATAGTTGCACAATTCATAAGAAAAGTTGACAAAAAGTACTACACGAGAAAGCACGTAATAGCGATTTGGATGGTCCTATCTGATATATAATTTAGTTCTTAAATTCCCATATTCCCCTTTAGTGTAGATGTATTTTGACTAATTTTGCATCATTATTAATAGAGTACTAGCCATGTCTGCAAATGTAATGAAATTACTGAAAATAATACCACTGGATGCGGAAGTATTTTGTGACGCAGTTTCATAGGATCTGAAAAGTGAACGTTGCATTGGATCTACGGTCCTCCGACTATAACATTATGTTCAGATGTAGAATACATTTGGATCTGCTGACACTTGTCTAAAGGTACGAGGTTTTGTATACAACATCAACATTGTCAATTTCCTATTAAGAGTATTTTCAAACCAATTAATTATCAAACGTTCATAAATCTATAAACTACACGGTATAA